TATACGCAACGTGACCAGTTCAATCATGGGAGGGACTAACAATAATGACCGATGAATGGATTATGCCGGCTTGTCCACAGCACCACCGATGTATAATTTATTAAAACGAGTAAGGCCATGAGAGATGTGTTTTACCATTTTAGACATGTTTTTGGAGCTGTTCATCATCATTGCCTTTCTCACCCTGGATCAGGATATCGGCCACGAACAAACGATTTCACCTTTCCCTATCCTGGGCTAGTCGCTTGATGTCTTGTTCTTCTTAATACTTCCTCGTAGGTGATTCTGTCTGTCCATCTGATCCTCAGTAGCTTTCTCAGACACTGGTTTAAGAAACCCTGGATCCTCTTTTTGCATGTCTGAGATGCGTTCCACGTCTCATATCCACACAACAAGACTGACTTCACATTTGAGTTGAAAATTCTCAGCTTTGTCCGTAGTGAGATATCCCTGGGCGTGTTCAAAGAAATAAATGCTGTCTGTGCCATTCCAATGCGGGACTTTATTTCAGCGCCTGTTCCTCCCTTTCTGTCAATTATACTCCCAAGATAGCTGAAGGATTCGACGTCTTCTAGTGCATTTCCCTTTACTGTGACCTGCTCCTTTCGTAGTGCATCTATCCTCAGGACTTTTGACTTTCCAGGGTGGATCCTCAATCCAACAGACTCTAATAGGCTGTTTAAAATTGTTGTCTTTACTGACATTTGTTCCCCAGTGCGTGACAGAAGCGCCAAGTCATCTGCAAAGTCCAGATCGTCCAACTGTGTCCATGGGGTCCACTGTATGCCGTTTCTGTGTCCTCTGGTGGTTTCCTTCATCTGCCCGTCGATTGCCAAGATAAAGAGGAATGGTGATAGTAAACATCCCTGTCTCATTCCGGTTTTAAGTCAAAGCTGTCAGTAAGCTGGCCATCATGTATTACCCTGCAACGTGTCCCTTCATACATGCTCCTGATGAGGTTAACCAACTTCTGAGGGATTTCGTGGTGTCTCATAATCTTCCACAGTGTTGCTCGGTCTATGGGGCTGTTGGTTGTTCAAATATATTGGCTGCGGCTTCTTTGAACAGGTTATCATTTTACACTGTGTCTTTATATAGAAAAAATGCAAGTGGGGGTGGGGGTAGAAAAAGACAGTTTGTACAAGCGGCCATCTTAAACAGGTGGCCGTCTTGGCTGATTCGACTGTATACATGAATAACTGAGAAGGAACCACAAACAGAACCAAATAACAGAGTTCATTCTTCGCGATATAGTCATTTGTTTGTTTGTTTGAGTAAAGAGAGGCACGTGGACCCAATAATAGTTACGACATAGAGCTGGGGGAAAGTAAGACAGAGAGAAACAACAAAGGGAGAGAAAAGAAGTAGGTCCAATCAGTGACACCCTCCAGCCACCCGCACACATTCCTCAATATCTTTTTAAAACATTTTTAAACACAACTTAATATTTCTTTGCCACTGTTCTGTGTCAACTTTTAGTTAAACTTTCAAAAGCTTAAAATTCTGATTGGGTGGGCCATTTGATTCATTCACTTAAGTGTTTAAAAACCATATCAAACAATATCAATAACTACTTCAAATTAAAGCTCTTCTCTGGGGCTTCTCGTGGCCTAGAGGTTAAGGTGTTGGCCTCTCATTCAAAGGTCCCGGGATCGAATCCGGGTAGCAACCGAAAAATTTTCTTCTCTAAAATTGTCTGCTTTCACTTCCTTTCTTGCTCTCTAGCAATGTTCTGTTGTCTGCTTTCATTTCCACGTTCTGCCCCACCCCCTCACCTCCTTTGCCCCCTCCTCTGAGCTCCTTTCTCTTTCTGCAGCCTTTCTACTGCTACTCCTTGACTCCTCCTTACTGCTGTCTTTCTGCCACACCCCTGATCTTCTGGTAGGAAAGATCTACACCTGCCTTCTCGGACAAGGACGAAAAATCTCGGAGGGCCCGTGTGCAAGTTGCACACGTTAAAGATCCTTTGGTGGTCTAAAATCGATAAGAGTAGGCTTCGGTCGCCACCTGGGCAAAAATTCGAAATGTCCTACCAACTGAAAATATTAGGTGTGACCCGCGCGCTCATATGACCTTATGCAGTTGCGAGCGCCGTAAAACACACACCAAAAAAAAAAAAGCTCTTCTCACGGCTTCTTCCCTTGATAAGCCAAAGGCTACTAAGGAACTACACAACATGTCCAAGGAAATTCATGTTCTGAAATGTAAGTGTTTTGTTGTTGTTGTTTTTTAAATGTTGGCGTCTTTACGCCCCATAGACACAAGTTTGATCATTTGGATGGTAAGCGTTTACCCTAAGTATGGGGGTAACCTTAGCTGAGAGGAATACAACATCCCAGAGGAAAGACTGAGATACTCGATAAAAAGGATCCTAACATGGGAATCGAGTTCAGGTCTTCTACATCATGCAACAGCAGTAGAGTACCAAACATCTACACCACAGATGCCAGTCAACTCTCTCTCTCTCTCTCTCTCTCTCTCTCTCTCTCTCTCTCTCTCTCTTCACTACACGTTTTCGTTCCACTTTTGCGTTA